TAAGAAAGGAGACAAAAATATTAATTAAGTATATTGTTAAATATGAAAATGCTACGGACCCGTTATGGAACCATTTTGTTGGAGTTTGTAACCGTTAGATCATCATGTAACCGTCAGAGTTAGTTGATCTAACGGTTACAAACACCTACGGAATGAACGGGATTGTATTATCTGTATGTTAAATATCAAGATAATTACTTTTAAATATTATTTTTAAATTAATCACCATCTTAATTTGACAATTCCAACAGAATGGAATGGGCCCAAAATACTTCAGCCCAGTCAGATGGAATGGGCCTCTAAAACGCCTGCCTCAGCCTGGTAGTACTGTGTGAAACGGACCCGAAAAAACTTTTAAGATAGAGAAGATATGAAAGAAAGAGGAAAACTTTGAGGATATCCATGCAAAAATGTTGGTTTTATGAATTTGGGGTACAAACAAAAAAGAAAATAATCTATTAATATATAAAGAGGGGAGGCATTTATTTGAAAAAAGATTCAAAAAAATCAGTAAAAAAAAAGAATTCATTTCTCACCTAAAGTCAATATAATGAAACTAAAGATTTTTGGCAAAAAATTAAAATCTGAGCGCCATTCAACCAATTTTGAAAATTTTGAAAAAAAAAAATAAATCAAAAAATCTAAATAAAAAAATTACATGCAGATTTTTTGGAAATTTTATATTATCTAACTATCATGCAATATGAATGGGACACTTGTCCTATTTTTATTGGTCCACTATAAATTTTATATGACAAGATAAGTATAACTCATATTATTGATATTATTTTATTTTAAAAAATAAAATAAAAAATATCACAATTCGTATTTATTCATACTCTATAAATAGAGACCACTCTTGATATGTTTTGGAACACAATTGAAATTATTATGTTGGGTTAGGTTGTAGATAAACCAATACCAAACAATGTATTGTAGATAATATTTATTAAATAAATAAATAAAAATAAAATAAATATTATACTATCTTTATTAAGTCACCAACTAAAAAATAATAAAAAAATAAAAAAATAGCAAAATTCGTGACCCAGTTCAAATTGTGACTCTGGATCGCAACCTAGCCACAAGGAGGGAGAGAGAAAAGAGATGAGTGAAATGGGGCAAGTGTCTCATTCTTATTGGTCTATAAATTTTTTCTATAATAAGATAATTGTAACTCAAATTATTGATATTAATTTATATGAAAAAAATAAAAAATAATTTTTTATTCTCTATAAATAGAGACCACTCTTAATATATTTTGGAACATAATTACAATTTCTATCTTTTCACTTTTTTTTTCTTAATTGTAACTTATCAATTTTATCATATCTTTTATTTTATCATATCACAACTAAAATAATAAAAAAAAAATTATTGTAGATAATACTCAATTATTGTATATATATATAAATATAAAATAAATATTATGTTGGGTTGAGTTTGGTTGGGTTTGGAATAAAGGACTATTCTACTATGCCTTTTCCAGATATGGGTAGTATTAATTCAAGTGCGAACCGTCTGGTTTTGGATGTACTTAACTATGACCGTAAGACTCTAGCTATTGAGCATGATGCATTGCTGACACATATGACCCATGAACCAAAGGGTGTTTATTCCAAAATAATGACATTTGTTCATTCTGGCAGGGGCGGCGTGTTTTTTGTGTATGGTTATGGTGGAACTGGAAAGACATACTTGTGGAGGACTTTAGCTGCTCGGCTAAGATCGCACGGTCAAATTGTGCTTTATGTTGCATCAAGTGGAATAGCATCTTTCCTGTTGCCGGGCGGACGAACTGCACATTCTCGATTTATCATTCCTATTTCTGTGCATGAAAATGTATCGTGTGAGATCAATCAGGCTAGCCCCCTTGCCGAGTTGATTATTCGCTCTTCATTGATCATATGGGATGAGGCCCCAATGATGCATAAGCATTGTTTTGAAGCTGTTCAAGCATCTTTTAAGGCAATGATGGGAGCCCTCGACCCGACAAATCATCATAAACTGTTCGGAGGCAAGATTGTTGTGTTTGGTGGAGACTTTTGACAAATCCTTCCGGTAGCATTTGGGGAGAATGTATTGTGCTTAGGCTTACAAAGAATATGCGTCTTCAGAGCATTGGCGATTCGAATGAACGTGGCAAGCTGAATGCTTTTGCTGATTGGATAGCGAGCATTGGAGATGGAACATTGGGGGTACAAATGATGGATGTTCTCCGATAGACATACCAGATGATCTATTACTAGAGTCATCTGATGATCTAATTCAAAAATTGTTGAAAGTACGTTTTCGATGTTCAAGAATGTAGCCGACGATCCAAGTTACTTGAAGGATAGAGCTATACTTGCACCAACACTCGATATCGTAGAATCTATTAATGAATACATGTCGTCGTTAAATTTGTTTGGGGGACGCACGTATCTAAGTTCAGGCAGTACGTGTCAATCCGACTCCAATACCGACTTTCTGGCACAACTGCATACTCCTGAGTTTTTGAACACTATCAAGTGTTCTGGAACGCCGAAGCATGAATTGAATTTGAAGGTCGGAACTCCAGTTATGTTGTGGCGGAACATGATCACTCAATGGGACTCTGCAATGGTACACGATTGGTTGTGACTAAACTCTCCAATCATGTTCTCGAGTGTAAAATTCTTACTGGCGATCATGCAGGTGATAAAGTTTTGATATCTCGGATGACAAATAACTTCTTCTGATGTTAGAGTACCATTCAAATTTCAAAGAAGGCAGTTCCCCATTATGGTTCCGTACGCAATGACTATAAACAAGAGTCAAGGTCAATCATTATCGCATGTTGGCTTATTCTTGAAGAAACCAGTTTTTAGTCATGGTCGTCGTTGTCTCCCGTGTTACTAACAGAAATGGTCTGAAAAATTAAATTTGTGGAGAAGAAGGTTTGAAAGAAAATCAAACCAATAATGTTGTGTATAGAGAAATTTTTAATAATATATGATTTTTGTTTATATTTGTATTCCTCTATCCTCTTTCCATTGTAATTAAATTATTAATTTATAAAAAAATATTTAAAATAATGTTTAAAAAAAAGGTTTGAGGAAATGACCGCGCCGTGTTGCGCACGGATACCATACTAGTAAATATGAAAAAAGGAAAAAAGGAGTGGGAAAATACTAAAAAGATTAATATATTCAAAAATTATGTATTAGAATAATTCTAAGTATAAAGAGAGGCACATGTCTATGTTACATAGAATTCAGAGACTTACACAAAGTATTATTTAGACTCATCATATTCAAAAATTATATATAAAGAGATTCTTCATATAAATGATGATTCTCATTTGTATATAGAAAGTTGGCTCCACTATGGAGCCAACTGTTAGCTTCATAGCAAAACCGGATCAATCCCAATTTTCCTAGAAATATCATTGTTATTAAATGATATATGATATGAGTTAAAAACATTTAAAATCCCATAAATTAATCAAACGTAGTCGTCTTGTAAGCATTGTGCTCTTGTACCTTTTGCTCACATCACCTGCTCATCTTCTCAAAGCCATAATCACTTGATATTCAAATTCTCCCATCTACATTTTAAACTGCAAGCATCAAATGCACATGAGAGCAAACCATATTCATCCACCATCTTCACCAAGCAAAACAACAACTATAACCAGAAAAAATTCCAAAAATTCTCCTTTT